GGGGGGGGGGGGGGGAGCTCCGGCGGCTTTGCGCGCCGGTGCCGACGAGCGCCGCGAAGAGCGGCAGGTGCGGGGGCGGCCGGAACACGTCTCCATGCACCTGGTCGCCACGGGCAAGGGGAGTGCGCTCACGAGTCACGCAACCACTCCCCTCGCCCGCTCCCCTCGCCCGCTCCCCTCGCCCGCTCCCTTCGCCCACTCCCCACCCACTCGCGCAGCCCTCGCCGGCTGCGGCGCTTCGCTGTGCGGTTCCTTCGACTGGGCCTCCACCCGGACTAAGACGGTGTGTACAGAGGTGTGTACAGAGGTGTGTACAGAGGTGTCTGCAGAGGTGTCTGCAGAGGTGTGTACAGAGGTGTTCACAGAGGTGTCTGCAGAGGTGTCTGCAGAGGTGTCTGCAGAGGTGTGTACAGAGGTGTGTACAGAAGTGCGTACAGAGGTGTGTACAGAGGTGTGTGCAGAGGTGTGTGCAGAGGTGTGTACAGAAGTGTGTACAGAGGTGTGTGCAGAGGTGTGTACAGAGGTGTGTACAGAGGTGTGTACAGAGGTGTGTACAGAGGTGTGTACAGAAGTGTTCACAGAGTTGTGTGCAGAGGTGTGTGCAGAGGTGTGTACAGAAGTGTGTACAGAGGTGTGTGCAGAGGTGTGTGCAGAGGTGTGTACAGAGGTGTGTACAGAGGTGTGTACAGAGGTGTGTACAGAGGTGTGTGCAGAGGTGTGTACAGAGGTGTGTGCAGAGGTGTGTACAGAGGTGTGTACAGAAGTGTGTACAGAGGTGTGTACAGAGGTGTGTGCAGAGGTGTGTACAGAGGTGTGTACAGAGGTGTGTACAGAGGTGTGCACAGAGGTGTGTACAGAGGTGTGTACAGAGGTGTCTGCAGAGGTGTGTACAGAGGTGTGTACAGAGGTGCTCACAGAGGTGTGTACAGAGGTGTGTACAGAGGTGTCTGCAGAGGTGTGTACAGAGGTGTTCACAGAGTCTCTGTCGACGTGTTTGTGGAGGTGTCGGCTCGCCTGCTTCCAGCCCGACTCGTCGAGCTCTGCGTCGAGGTCCTGCATTCAGAGTCCCTCCTCAGTCCGCGAATCGGCCTCCCTCAGAGAGCGGCCTGCTGCGCTGCGCTCCTCCATGTCGGAGTCTCGCGCATACCGCGCGTAGTCCTTGCGGAGGGTGCGGAGCAGGATGAGCGAGACGATGCCGGTGAGGAAGAGGACCTGACACGAGGCGCAGCGGAGGCCGCCGTGAGGCAGCTCTTTGCTTCTCCGCCCAGCTGGGCGGAGGCGGAGGCTGGGCGGAGGCGGAGGCTGGGCGGAGGCGGAGGCTGGGCGGAGGCGGGCGGGGCTTGCGGCGCCATCATGAAGGAGTTGAAGATGGAGAACCAGTGGATCTGGTGCTCGAAGAAGTCGTAGTCGAGGTAGCGGTCGAAGCGCTTCGAGAAGGGCGTCTCCGTCTCCGTCCACTCGACAGAGTACGACAGGTCGACCTTTGCGCCCGCGTGCAGCGCGACCGGGTTCTCCGACGTCAGGTTGACTTGGATGATGCGAGGGCCTGCAGCAGGAAGAGGGACCGCCGCGTCAGGGCGTGCTCCGCGGCAGGGCCCGGCGCATTCTCCCGCCGCGAGCGCCGTTGTACGAGATCGAGAACCGCCTACACACTCAATGAGCCCGCGGGTCGGCGGCGGGCGGTGAACCGCAATCCGGCGGGCGGCAGCGAGAGCGCTTGTGCGTGAAGAGGAGCGCCTCGGCCTGCGACTCGTCCTCGTCGCTGTCCGAGGTGGTGAGCTCGCCCACCATCCCCCAGATGGGAAGGTCGTCGAGGTACCACTGGTACCAGTAGTGATTGTGAATCGCAAAGCTGAGCTGAGCCGCGCTCTCCTCGTCCAGCTCCATGGAGCAGACCTTGGTGTGGTCGGGCACCGGCTCGCGAAAGCGCAGCTCGAAGCCGCTCGCGATGAGGTCGTTCCCCTCCAGCACCTCACCGAGCCAGTCGTACCGGTGCTCCAGCTTCTCGACTGGAAAGCTGCTGCAAAAAGGGAGCGAGTAGAACGTGTACGTCTCCTGCGGGTTGTGGTAAGGCCCCACCTTGTTGACCCACA